TGAATTATTGAAGATGGATGGAGAGAGAGAAATAATAGAGAGAGATGAATGGGTGGATAGATAGTTAAATATAGATGGGTAGATAGTTAGGCAGACAGACCGACAGAGATATAATGGATAGAAACGTGGAGACTTCCGGTCCTGCGTGGTAGTGACTGATCGCGGACTTGCGGACCGCCACACCCCCGCGGCTAATTTTCGTGCTGCCTGGAGACCCTAATGGGTCCAAGCCACCCCGGAAAGGCAGCGAAAAAAGAAGGGTGCCCCGGCGACTCTGGAATGATGGTGGTCATTCCATTCGTCTTGGGGAAAGCCTTCTAACCGACAGAAGAAAGGCTGTATTTCACCGATCAGCCCGAACTACTTGCAACCGAAGTCCAAAAGAACTAACCAGCACAACAGTAAACAGCGTGCTTGAAACTGGGTGAGGAATCTGATTTTCCCTTTTCTATTCTACACTTAATTTCCTGGAAAAGATCCCCAAGAAGCAAAATACCTACGAAAATGAAGGAGAGGGACTTCCGCCCCACCCTTATACTAGCAGAAACGGCGAATTAAAATTTCCATGGAGGATCAAAATACATGGTAGTGAAATAAATTTATAAACTTGAAAGCTAAAATTTAACTTTGGACAAGTTTAGAATTGTTGAATGGCTAAGACTCTCATTTTAAAGACCGTTGTTCATATTGAAAACTAAATAGATGCTGACACCTAGTGGTGGATGAAGATTATGACAGTTATGATTTCCATAGAGTACTTGCCAAAACCTCGGAAAAGCTAATCTGTGTTTGTGACCTTCAAAGCTTTAATAATAAAGAAAAGCTGTGACCAAAAAAAAACAACAGACAACAATCTGGGCTGCAGACAAAGAGAGAATTATAAACTTTAGGGGGAAAAAATCTTTTTTGAACTCTTTGGATTACAAATATTTATTTAACCGGGACGCCAGAGCTATTTGCAGATAAAAAGGAAAACTTTAACTTTTGGCCATCATGGATCAGAGACATGTAGATAGAACACGCCGAGAAAACATAAATACCTCTCAGGAGGAGATATATAGTATACTGCAATTAATTCAAATAACACTTGAGTTCAAATCACAAAGAAATCCAAAATAAATTTCAAAGTATAAATCAATCTATTTCTAAATTAACTCTACAACAACAACAAAAACTTCCAGGAAACAACAACAGAGAAGGAGCAGACAAAACAAATAAGTGGACATAAAATTGAAAATGGAGACTCAAAGACGGAACTTAACAAAGCAAGAAAAGATGATTTAATCATCATTTTTTTAATTAATTCAAGGTTTGCGAAGAAGACATGTTGGGGGGAAAGAGGGCAATCAACTAAACGTACTACGCGGATTACGGATTACAGACGCCGACTGTTCCTGATTTTCCCTGACGAAGGCAAAGCCAGCCGACACGCTTGTTTACCGACGTGGAAGTGATTTATGTTTTAAAAAAATTGATAAAATATATGGAAAAAGAAAAGAAAAGAAAGGTGGATGACGGATTACAGACGCCGACTGTTCCTGATTTTTCTTTCCGAAGGCAACGCCAGCCGACATGCTTGTTTACCGAGTCTTAAGGGATTTATCTTTTTTTTAAAAAAATCGATAAAGTATATGGAAGAAAAAAAGACAGAAAGACAGACAAAAAGACAGACAAAAAGACAGACAGAAACAAAGAAAGAAAAAAGAAAAGAAGGAAGAAAGAGAGAGAGAAAGACAGAAAGACAGACAGAGAGAAAGAGAGAAAGAACGAAAGATTAAAAGACAAACAGAAAGAAAGAAAGAAAAAAAAAGCAAAGAAGGAAGGGAGGAAGGAAGAAAGAGAGAGAGAGAAAGAAAGACAGAAAGACAGACAGAAAGAAAGAAAGACAGACAGACAAAAAGACAAATAGAAAGAAAGAAAGAAAGAAAGAAAGAAAGAGAAAAAAGAAAAGGAAGGGAGGAAGAAGAAAGAAAGAGAGAGAAAGACAGAAAGACAGAAAGAAAGAGCGAGAAAAAGAAAGACAGAAAGAAAGAAAGAAAGAAAAGGAAGGAAGAAAGAGAGAGAGAAAGACAGAAAGACAGACAGAAAGAAAGAGACAGACACAGAAAGAGAGAGAGAAAGAAAGAAAGAAAGAAAGAAAAGGAAGGAAGAAAGAGAGAGAGAAAGAAAGACAGAAAGACAGACAGAAAGAGACAGACAAACACAGAAAGAAAGAGAGAGAGAGAGAAAGTAAGAAAGAAAGAAAGAAAAGAAAGAAAGAAAGAAAGAAATAGTGTGAAGAGATGGGAGGTAGGGAGGAAGGTGTGAAGGAAAGAAGGAGGGATGAAGAAAGGAAGGAAGGAAGGAAGAGAGAGAGAAAGACAGAAAGACAGAAAGAAAGAAAGAGAAAAAAGACAGAAAGAAAGAAAGATAGACAGACAGACAGACAGACAGAAAGAAAGAAACAGAGAGAGAATGAAAGAAAGACAGACAGAAAGAAAGAAAAAAGAAAAGAAGGAAGGAAGAGAGAGAAAGACAGACAGAAAGAGAGAGAGAGAAAGACAGACAGACAGAAAGAGAGAAAGACAGAGAGACAGACAAAAAGACAGACAGAGAGAAAGAAAGAGAGACAGAAAGAAAGAGAGAAAGAAAGAGAGACAGAAAGAAAGAAAGAAAGAAAGAAAGAAAGAAAGAAAGAAAGAAAGAAAGAAAGAAAGAAAGAAAGAAAGAAAGAAAGAAAAATCCGGAGGGATAGTTACTTCTTCATAATTGGGCTGTTTCCCCCCCCCGATTATAAACCTAGCTTTTGAGCCCTACGGAGAAGGTGTCCTTGGTTTGTGTGTGTGTGGGGGGGGCCACTCACTAAAAAAAAAAGTTACACGCCCCCCCCAAAGCTTATTTACAACAGCCATTGGGGCTCTCTCCCCCCCCTCCCCTCTCCAGACACCCCGAAACTCTCAACGGGGCCCGCAACGCAACACAAAACCAAAACAAACAACACGGGGGGGGGGAGGCAGCTTCAAAGAGAAAAACCTACGCAGTGTATCTCCTGACCCCCCCCCCCACTTTCTTTGTCTTGACCCCCACCCCCCCAAAAAAATCCGGGGTGCCCTCTAGGGCAGGGCTTGAATGGCAGGAGGGGGTGGCCATTTGAATGACAAGAGGGGGCTCCCCCTCCCCTGGACCCCTCCCCCTCTCCTGGACCCCTCCCCTCCCCCCCCCCCCCCCCACAATCTCCGCCCTCGGTT